AGAGCTTTTTTTTTCTCCAGTGTACAACCTACAAGGCGTTTATTCCTACTTTGGACCACTGCAAATGTATCGAAAATATAAGTAAAGTTACCTTTAATATTTTTTGTCTAGTAGGTGTTTTAGCTTTATTTCTTTATATAACTTTGTAACATTATCAGTGCAATAAGGTGTGCATGTGTCCCTTCTCAAGGTTTTCTCTGTTAATAATGTTTATATGAGGTATACGCTGTTCTAAAATCTGGACAGTTCCAACCTTCTCAAACTTTTCCTTTTATCTGTCTCACAGTTTTTCCTGCTGGTATCCTTCAGCCTACCCTCTACAACCCTGAATTTCCACAGTGAGTATCCCCCTTTCTTCTCCTCAGAGAGGCAACAGCAGCAACAACAACAGAGGTCGTTAAAGGCTGCGTTAGTCTGGGAAGCCTCTGCCTCTCTTAAAATCCCAACACACCTGATTAAACCAATTTAACTACCCACCAAGAGCTCAATTACTGAAGAAAGCCCTGCTAATGGAGCAGGTGTCACTGAAAGGTCACCTCTCTAAATTTAAGCCCATTGAGTAATTTGATGGCACATGAAAGTAGATTACCTTCCTGTTTGTCTCTGCAGGTTCTGTTTGTCTCACTTTCTGCCTCTCAGGTGGGGCTTATGTCGTCAAATCTTAATGAATATGGCTGAACCAATCTGAAAATGACCACATGTAAATTTAAATTACTCAGAAAATAACAAATTGTAATCATAAATTATAGCCGCATCCATATAGAATATAAACATTTTTAACTTAGACGTAACATTAGTCTACGTCCCTTGTCAGCCGTACTGAACCGCCGCACTTCCCTGGGTCCTCCTCACATTACGCACTTGCATATTCAGCAACAGAACACCACTGGTGTGAGAAGTTCTCGCTCAGTCACGGACAACAAAAAAACATTTGGACCTAGAAAACTGTTACTGGTGTTTAGAGCTGTCTCGTTTACTGTTGGATGTGGATTCTGGTATCAGGCGGACGTGGCTTAGGGATGATAGCCAGGAGGGCAGGGAGTTCTGTGTTTATAAGAGCCAGCTTGTTTTATAGATTTCACATTGTGGCTTTAATCATACTGATTTAAAGCAGGTGTGTTTTTAAAGAGGGAAACAGCTAAAACATTCTGAAGAGAGGCGCCTACCTCTCCACTACACTACAGTCTTGGCTGTGTTTGGACTAGATCTTGTAACAGAGGCCATTCAGAATACTAACAGGTAGTCATTTCTAACTTTTACACAAAAACATGCTTAAGAAAGGCCCAAAAAATTGTTTTTAATCCCTTTAACGTCATTTATAGGAAAATGTAAATATGTGCAACCAGGCCAGGTTCATGCTCCGACGTCAGCCTCCATCCAGCCCAACCCCAGGTGCTGGACCACTAACCAACTAACTAGTGCAAGATAGGCCCACCGATAGGTCAGTATTCCCTTTATTACCTGGTAAAATGGGGCAAACTTGTTTAATGAAGAGGAACTAACGGACATTAAAAAGTGAAAACCACATCTAAGCAAACTGATTATGATCCTAAGGGATGAAATCAAAGAACTGAAAAGATTCACTCCAGAACAGGATAAAAAATATCCTTTTTGGAAGCTGGAGTGGATGGTCTAGTGATACCCAACAGATGGAAGACATCACTGTCGGTGGTCTGGAAATCTTGCCTCTGGCTTTTGCCAAAACGTGAAGCCTGATGAAGTTCAGACTGATCCAGACCTGGACTCCCTCGAGCAGCGGGTGGTTAACTTCCTCTGCAGCAAAGGATAACTGTAAGGAACCAAGACATTAAGCGTGTCACCACTTACCAACGAAAAACAAAAATCTGAAGCCAGCCTTGTTTTCAGATTTGTAAGCAGGAAACAAAAATATCAGTTCTCAAGCAAGGTAAGTTGTTAAGAGGTAAAAAAAATATTCATAAACAAACTTTTGACTCGGAAAATGCTGAAAATGCAAGACAGGTACGGATCCTGGTGAAACAAAGGAAGATACAATCAACGTGGTCAAAAGACAAAGATCTTTGTTAACAAAGGCATTTCAGAACTGGACAAAGGAGATCAGTGAGGGGGATGGCATGGTGCCATCACACAAACCTCACCGGTAATCGCCACAGGACTAGAGATCAATCCCATACCGGTAACTGGGAATTACAAGGAGTCTCCAAATGTGATCATGAAACTTACGGCTAAAACTCCACCTATAAAGATCATGATGTAGGAAACAACGCAGAGCCTGAAACAACTTGGAGGAGCGTTTGGATAAAGTTGGAAAATAACTTAATAAATTAACAATAAATAAAACAAAGTACATAGTTTTTGGCAAAAGGTCAACCAATTAGAAACTAATGATAAATGATACAGAAATTTTTATTCAATTATTTGGCATAATGATAGATGAAAAATTCAGCTGGAAGAAACAAATCGATTCAAAAAAATCCAAATCAACTTCAGTACTTTGCTAAGTTAAATATTTCTTAAATGAATCATCATTATACATCATCTACTTCATCCTCACATCCATACAAGTATAGTACACATACCGTAAATCCTCTAATATTGGCCTGTATTCAGTTAACGGCCGGGTATCATATTTTGGCCGGTGTCGGAGTCGGCGGAGGTGAATAATGGCCGGTATTTTATTGTGGCCGGGTGGAGTGTGGTAACAAGCAAGTACCACAGGGGGGGCGGTTATGTCATCCGTCTCACTTTTGATTTGCCAGTGACAGACTGCTATTTGGCAGGTGCGGAGACGAAGAGGCGGCGAAAATTTGATATCAAGTTCAAAGAGAACGTGCGCTGCAGAACACTGGGGAGCAATAGGGGTTGTATGAACTAGTCGACTTCACTATAATGACTTTTTATGCCTGTCATCGACTAGTCGCTGTCACGTGATAATGACCGGCAAGATGCAGCCCTCAGAAAGGACAGCAGCCTGCTGTCAGCAGGTGACAAGCTCCTGCGCTCGAGGGGGGGGCAACGCGCTGTGCCAGAGCATCGGTACTGACACGCGATCGTTCATGTCGGCTCATTTCCTTTAATGTTTTCTGTCTTTTATTTGCGCCTGATGCGTTTCGCTGCTGTGGAGCGGGGCGCATCACCTTGTCCTCCGGTGACGCACCGATCACTGATGCGACCGCCAAGCACAGAGCACTCCGCTGTTTTTGCAGTCGGTAGATCTGCGTCCTGAGCACGGCCACAGTAACATTATCAAATCAGGTGTCGCCACCTCAAAAACTAATTTAACACGCAATCGTTCATGTCGGCTCATTTCCTTTAATGTTTCGCTGCTGTGGAGCGGGGCGCATCACCTTGTCATCCGGTGACGCACCGATCACTGATGCGGCCGCCAAGTAGCGAGCACTCCACTGTTTTTGCGGTCAGTAGATCTTTTAGAACTGCAGTTCAAAGGTAACTCATGAGGTGAATATATATGAACCCAGGTAGCAGTTTCTCTTTAGGATTGAGAGGAGATGCAGGAAGATAATAATCAGACAGGACAGAAAAATAGTCAAATAAAAACAAGTTAGTTTTTGTACCTGGTGGTTGCAACAAACAGACACCATTGAAGGTAATCAGAAGTGAGGAACAGAAAATGAAATAATTATTTTAAAGTTTAGAGCAGCAGGAACTCCGAGAGGCTGCAGGCGCATCAGTGAGTTTGCGGCCGCTGCGCAGGGGGAGGGGGAGGGGGGAGAGGGCTGAAGCAGAAACTACCGTTGTTAAACTTTAACTTTGAAAATGTGGGCGCAGTTTTAATTGTCAAAACCTCCAGCGAACCATTAGTTCATTTTGCTCAAATAGAAATTGAGGCCTGCCTCTAATACTGGCCCTCCTTCCAATAAAGGCCTGGAGCTTGATGAGCTTGAGTCAAATACAGGTCCGGGCCTGTATTAGAGGATTTACGGTAAGACAACTATAAATGATACCTTCTGAAAATAACTCATTAGAATAATCCTCAGATGGTCTTACGCAGAACTAACAAACTCTTTATTCATCTAATTAAATTTACTGAAATCGGTAGACTTAGTTGGCTGCAACATCCTTCAGTTAACGTCTCGTCTTCTTCCGCCTATCCGGGTTGCGGAGGTAGCATCTCAGCTATGGAGTTCCAGACGTCCTCTCCCCGACCACCTCCACCAGCTCCTCCGGTAGGACCCCAAGGCGTTACTGGGCATGTTCAGAGATGTACTTTCTCCAACATGTCCTGGGTCAACCAGGGTACCTCCTGCCAGCAGAACATATCTGAAACACCTCCCTGGGGAGGCCTCCAGGAGGCATCCTAACAAGATGCCCAAACCACCTCAACCGACTCCTCTCGATATGGAGGAGCAGCGGCTCTACTCTCCCCTGGATGTCTGAGCTCCTCACCCTATCAATCCGTTAATGAACTGATTTAAACTGAAATCAGTTTCAGTTCATGTTTAAAATCAAAAGTCAACAATTGCTTCTTTGCTGTGTTTGGACAGGAGGGATGCACTTAAAGAATACCTGCAGTGAAGACATGAGTAAACGCTGAAGCAAAGATAAAAGATGATATAATTCAACTGCAGTAGTATTTTGTCCATTATGATATTTTTTTATTTCCAAGCACTATGCCTTATTTTTGGTAAATTGCTGTAAATGTTCTGCCTCTAATTTGTTGTAATTTAGGTGTTAATGGTCTAAAGCTGTGGTACTCAATAAGCGGCCCGCGAGCCCCCTCTTTGGGGTCCCCAAGCCTCCCACCCCGACCACACCAGTCCAACACCTGGATCCAAAACTAGTGATTAATGTATTCATGAACTGCCCTCCAACTCAGAGTTTTATATGTGGCCCCTTATATTTCAGTACTCCTGATCTAAATGGTTTAAGACTAGAAAAGTGTTCAACTTCATCCAAAGACTTTTCCAACTGTTTTTTTTTTACTTTGTTCATCAAGTAGTCGCCTATATATCACCTTACAAAATCGTTAAAGCCGTTTTAATAACCCAGACTTGATATTTAATTAAGAAACTAATTTTCTCTCATTACTGATGTGGAATTAAACCAATCACCTACTGAGAAGGGAGAGAAGTCGATCCTGAAGCTTTTCTGCAGCACTGGTTTGGTGAACAGCTAGTTTCCCCACCTTTCTGTTAATCATCTGTAACAACGTGTGCTGCTTTTATTGAGCATCACTGAAACAACCACACAGTTCAAGTGGCTGCACCACCGGTATTCATGCAGCTCAATAACCTCGTGGATACAAATATGAGTTCATTAGACCCAGCAGCTTGTGTGTTCAGCATCAGCCAACACTTCTAGGTTTCATTAGAGGTGTATCACCACTACTTCCACCACT